GACCAGTTTTGCCAACACCAGCTGTTGAAGAGGCTGTCATTTCCCCATTGAATATCCATGGCTCCTTTATCATGTATTAATTGACCATATATGCTTGGGTTTATATCTGGACTCTCTATTCTGGTCCACTCATCTATGGCTCTGTTCTTGTGCCAGTACCAAACTGATTACTGAGGCTTTGTAGTAGAGCTTGAAGTTGGGGAGCATAACCCCCCCAACTTTATTTTTCCTTCTCAGAATTGCTTTGGCTATTCTGGGTCTTTTGTGATTCCATATGAATTTTACAACTATTTGTTCTAGTTTGTTGAAGAATGCTGTTGGTATTTTGATAGTAATTGCATTGAATCTGTAGATTGCTTTAGGCAGGATGGCCATTTTGACAATATTAATTCTTCCTATCCATAAGCATGAGATATATTTCCATTTATTGGTGTCTTCTGTAATTTCTCTCATGAGTGTCTTGTAATTTTCAGTGCATAGGTCTTTTACTTCCTTGGTTAGGTTTATTCCTAGGTATTTTATTCTCTTTGATGCAATTATGAATGGAATTTTTAATTGTTTTCTGATTTCTCTTTCTGCTACTTCATTGTTAGTGTATAGAAATGCAACAGATTTCTGTGTACTAATTTTGTATCCTGCAATATGCTGAATTATTAGTTCTAGTAGTTTTGGGGTGGATTCTTCAGGACTTTTTATGTACAATGTCATGTCATCTGCAGTGACAGTTTAACTTCTTCTTTACCAATCTGGTTGCCTTTTATTTCTTTGTGCTAGGACCTCCAATACTGTTTAATAAAAGTGGGGGAGATTGGGTATCCTTGTCTTATTCCCATTCTTAGAAGAAAAACTTTCAGATTTTTGCCGTTAAGTATGATTTGGCTGTGGGTTTGTCATATATGGCCTTTATTACGCTGAAGTACTTTCCTTTACACCCATTTTGTTGAGAGTTTTATCTTGAATGGGTGTTGAATTTTGTCAAATGCTTTTTTAGCATCTAAGGAGATGATCATGTGATTTTTGTCCTTCTTTTAGTTGATGTAGTAGATGATATTGATGGATTTTCAAATATTGTACCATCTTTGCATCCCTAGGATAAATCCCACTTGATCATGATGCAGGATCTTTTTGATATATTTTTAAATTTGGTTTGCTAATTGTTGAGTATTTTTGCATCTATGTTCTTCAGCGACGTTGGTCTGTAATTTTCTTTTTGTTTTGTGGTGTCTTTGCCTGGTTTTGGGTTTAGAGTGATGCTTGTTTCATAGAATGAATTTGGAAGTAGCCCCTCCTCTTCTACTTTTTGGAAAACTTTAAGGAGGATGGGCATTAGGTCTTATCTAAATGTCTGATAAAATTCAGCAGTGAAGCCATCTGATCAGAACCTTAAGAAATGGCATAAACTATTTGTGTTTTGAAATAATTGTAACTATGGCTTGTGAGATGAATGGGTGACAAAAATAAAAGCAGGGAGATCAGTTAGGAATTTTTTGCAGGTGAGCAATGATGGAGGCTTGTACAAAAATGGTAAAGGTGGAAATGAAGAGAAGTAGATTGAGTAAGGTATATTTTGGAAAAAGAGCCTCAAGAGCTTGTGGGTGTATTGAATGGGTGTGCATGTAAGGGATAGTGACAGAAAGAGAGCAGTCAAGATGGGAAGACTTGGGGAAAGTGTAATAATATAATCATATCTCAAACAACACTATCCACTGAATCAACATAGCACTAACTATGCACCAAAAGTAAAAAGCATCTCTTCTTGTGATAACCAGGTAGCTTTGTAATTTGACAGAATTTTCTCTTAGCCTTAAATTTAAACTAAGAGATGCAATTATCTAAAATTTAAGAGTAACTTACCCAATTCTTCTGTGCTTCTACAAAAGAGTTTACAGTGGCCAGCACAGTTCAGCATCTGTATTCCGTGGTAGTGTGGTTAACAACCTTCCATGCCTCAGTCTCAATCAAAAGCAGAGTTCTCAGGTATGTCTCTAACTACATTCAAGCCAGAAGTTCCCAAAGCACTTCTCCAAGTTAGTAAATTATTGAACATGCCTGTCTCACCTACTTCACTGTGAGTTCCTCCCAAAGCGGACCAATTCTTAATCCTTGATGGGCCCAACACATAAATAAACTCAAGCAACATCAGGTAATCAGTAAATGAAAACCTGCCAAAGTAGGACTACCTCTGAAGTTTCTTTTTGAGTTTCTGGACGTGATAATTTTGTGGCTGACACCTTTGAGAGACAAGTCGTTAACAGCTTTATTAAGACACAGTTCAAATAACAGAATTTGCCCACTTAAAGTAGACAGATTCCCAATGAGAACCTTTGTTGTAGTCAAATTGGTCTCATTGTTCCCCCCAAAAATATGTGCTTCTGTATCATTCCATTTATCTTAAACATTCATCAAACAATCACTATTGAGTACTTACTACATGCCAAACATTCCTACCTGGAAGTTACCTCGTTTTCAGTTCTACAGCCTTAACCCCTACTTTAAGATCTAACAACTGTGTTGACGATCCCAGTTCTTGGAATCTCCCCTTCTCTCAACGCCTGTACTTGTTGCTTCTTGTGTGTTTGGCATCAAGTGTCAGCCATCTTGTTACATTGCTGGTTAACTTTCACATGTGCATTAAGCATCTCTGCAGTCTAGCACTCGGCTCAGCACCTCACACATGGTATGCATTCAATGTAGATTTTGTGGAGAATGAGAAGCTGTCCCTGATTAACCCTCCTCCTTCCAAGTCCATCAGCAGTGTAGTTAGAGGACCTGAAAGCGTTTAAATGATCTTGCTGACATCTGAATTGTACTACAGATTGTGTAACAAGGTCATGGTGCTGGAACCAGAGTTCCCTGCCAGGGAATGGCAGGCTGTGCTTCTTACAACAATGGAAGATAAGATCAGAGAGGGCTTTGAAATCAGGCAGATGCAGATTAGTGCAATGTTCCACTTCAGTCAGGTGTCTGAACCAATAAAAACGTATATGATTTCTAATCATCAGGAATCAGGTTTTTCAAAAATGAGTTAGTTGGGATACTCTTACCATTATGGATAGAGTGATAGAATAATCTGACACAGGACACACAGTAAGCTATTGACTATACTATAAAATGTTCTCAGTATGAAACACTGTTGTCATTTCCTGTATGAATGACATACACTGTCAACTTTCCTAATGGGTTCTTAATGGGACACACACACACACACACACACAAAATGGTTGCTCTATGGAAAACGGGTAAGTTCTGGAATTCCCTTCAAACAATTTACAAATTATTATTTGTAAATAAGCAGAACTGACTTCAGTTGAAGGTTCATTAGGAATTACAAAGGTGACCCTTATAAACCAAATATTGTCACTACTGTGTATTGATTTTGAATAAAAACAAGTTCTGGCTTTATATGAAGTCACACTTTAAATGTGAATCATAAAAGTGCTGCATTTTCTCTGGTTTCCTTTCACTAACTTTTCAAGTTGATTTTTTAACCATTTCCTTGTTGTACTTAACTCTTTGCTTCAGACTTAAGTTTATCAAACCAGGGGAAGCCTGCTTTATACAAGCCCTGGATCTGGAAGGAATAAAAATGGCTATTAATGACAGACCCAAAAAAGCTGTGTGCTCACTTATTTAGTAAAACTGTACTTATAAATCACGATCATCATTAAAACAAACACATTTATCTTGAGCCCTGCTCTACCCTGCAATGTTTTCTGAACGGTGGAAATACATTTTCTTTGTTCTAATCCCAGCCTCTGAATTAGAACCGAGTAGAGCAGGCGCTTCATAAATATGCATTGACTGCCTGACTGAGTATTTATGTAGGGTAGGGCTCTGATTAGCAAATGCTACCTGCAGGAGGCAGAGGGAAAGCCACAAATGGAGGTAAGACGCTACTAGATTTTTTTTTTTCTTGAGTCTTGGGAATAATCACTTAACTCTCTTTTTAGACCTCTCCAGATCTCTCCCTTCAGGATCCATGTGAGGCCCTCTTCCACTGGGTGCTGGAGAAAGCGCAAGAGGAAGGGAAGACACAAACGACTTCTAATGTAAATGTTCTCCTTTCTTGGCAGTTCAGCTGCTCTAAGTAAAACTTACATTCTAACTTGAAGATGAGACGAGCAATAAATAAAAAATGTATCATACTTATATTGATAACTTGTTATCCTAGATCTCGTTATACAAAATAAAAGGCAACGATGTTACAATAAACTGGGGTAGGAGGCAAATTAAAATTTAGTATTTATGGCTTTTATACTAGGACCTCTACCTTTTTCAGGTGAAACTACTCCACCCAACTTTCCGCAGGTTTGACTAAAAACAAAAAAGTCCTTTTTGAACCACCTGGCCCAATAGTTGATGTACTGTGATTCCAGAGCTCTGTCAGGCTGCAGAACACTCACTGCAAGGACGCCCGGGGCCCACACGCAGGTCGGTCCCAGAAAGACCCAAGTACCGGGAAGGGCCACCAGCGCCCGGGAAACGGTCTCAGAGCCTGTTGCTCGTGGGCCAGGCGGGGGAGCACACGTGGTTCAGGCCGCAAAGGCCGCTGACGGTGCATAGAGGATAGGCTTCCACTCGGGCGACGAACGCACTGTCCCGTCCCACGGCACCCGCTGGGACTTAACCCACGGCGTCCCAGGTCCTTCCGCCCCCTGCCCGCCAACAAGGACCCAACATTACTTTCCAGACCCCTGGCGACTCCATTGTTATTAAAAGCAAGAGGGTAGCAGGGAGGGGGAGAAGCAGGTATACAGAAACCAGAGCATCTCCTGCCCTCTGGCCAAGAAGACGAGTCAGAAAGGCGTTGAGGAAGGACAGAAAGAGCCGAAGTCGCGGGGCGGAGCAAAGGCGCCCGGAGAAGCAGGAGACTGGCTGCAGATAACCCACCCCGCAGGGATGGTACGGTCTGGGGCGGAGCGCAGGAGGCTCTCGCAGGGCTCTCCCCGCCCCTCTCCCGACCTCCTCGCCGTCCAGCCGCGGGAGCGAGTGAGCGCGCGCCCCGGCGCCGGCGCCCAAGCTCCACCCCTTGCCGGGCCGCCCCCTCCGCGTCTGCAGGGCGAGCTCGCCCAGCTCTGCGGACGCCGCCGCCTTCGCTGCCTTTTCCTCCTGCCCGCGTGCGGGGGCCGCGCTGCCCTGGGTGGGCGGTGGAACCCGTTCGGCTGCTAAACGCTACGTGCGGCGCAGCCAATTCCTCAGCCCGCGAGGCGCCGTGACAGGTGCAGGTTGCGGGCTGAGGACCCACCTGCCGCGGCCGCCGCGATGCCCACCATGCGTAGAACAGTATCGGAAATCCGCTCTCGCGCCGAGGGTGAGTGGTGGCTGCAACACGGGGCTCCATGCGGAGCGCGCACGGGGGCACCTCGGGGCCACCCTGGGGTCCGGCTGTGTGTGTGTGTGTGAGACGGAAGAGATGCCCGGTCTCGGAGTGTGTGTGTGTGTGTATGTGTGTTTTACGGAAGAAATACCCGTTTCCACCTGGGTAAGTCTGGCTGTTGCGCCTGGTCCCTGGAGGACCCTTCTCTCTGCGCCCCTTTTGATGCTCTTGCAGACCCATCACGGCTTCAGAACCCCAAATTGGTGACCTGGGCTGGAGTCCTAAGGCTTTCTTTACACCGCAGTGACCGTTTGGTCCCTGTGCCTGAGCGCGCTTGTCCTGCCCACCTCCCACATCACTAGCGCACAAACCTCCCAGCCTCCCCTCACCTCCCCACCCTAATAAACAGATCACAACCCGCCGCCCCCGCCAATGGCGCCCACCTTTTTGCAACCCGCACATCATGGCTCCAGACAACATGGTTTACCTTTCCCAGGCTGCAGGATCCTTCTATCCACAGCCCCTTGCCTGTCAGAGCTCGAGGAGCCCTAATTGGGGTTGGTTGCTCAGTGGATACTGTGCATTTCAGTCTCCTCAATTCTGCCTTCTGCAGCGGAGTCTAACCCAGCTCCCATCCGAGGTTTTGTTTTCTTTTATTTTGTAGGTGTTTTTAGTTTTTTGCTTTTCCCTTTGCGGGCCCTGTGCACTTTGACCAGATGAGCCGACTTCTTAGCAAAGGTGTAAGGCGTTTACTTTGCTCCACCCAAGATCAGCTGTTGAATCTCTTCACCTGTCCGCATTGAGCAACAGATGCCTGAGGGTATATAGCAAGTAAGCTTTTGGAGGACTGAGACACCTTTTTCGTCCTGAGGAGCCCTCGGTGTCCTGCCTGGCATGGGCAGACATTCTGTAAATATTCCTGGATTTTGCTTATGGCAAAGCCAAGATTGTACATATCCCAAATTGTACTTTTTTTTTCTTTCCTATAAACCAGTACCTGAATCCTGCAAAGGGTAGGATAACATGTTTTTGAAAACTAGTCTATCTTGTCATCATCACTGATTGCCCCCCTTCCCTCTCACCTCACCCTTTAATGTGAGGCAGGTGGTAAAGTAGCTTTGGGGGGAGGGAAGGGAGAATAGGATTCCAGGATTTGAGACAGAGCATTTTATTATTTTTCCTCCTTAGAGTTCTCATGTGAAAAATGGGGCCACTGGGCTCTAATAGCTACGATGTTCTGATTGTAGTACTTAGGAAGCCCTAAATGAAACTGCTCTGAGTAGGTGGCTATGCAAGAGTGAAAACTGACCTGTATCCTACATAGAAATTTAATACATAGTTATTTCATTTGTAATATAACAAAAACTGTATAGGACATTATAGTTTTAGATGCACAGTTGAATAAATTATAGCGTTACAATAAAATACACAGTACAAAATGTATTCCTTTTTTTTACACTTCTGGGTGAAGTGAAGTTTTCCTAATCATTACTGAGTGAGCCATAGAGGTAATGAAAACATAGTGGTAAAAATGGGAATTTCTTTCATATAGTAGCAGAAGATGAATCATATATTGTCAGAAATAAGGAAGAGAGAAAAGACCAGAAAACAATGCAAAACCTGTGGCATGTGAAAGGATTGTATTAGTATCGAGAGGCTATAGTGTTGTTTTTGACTGGCATTTCCACAATGAGTGCCGTATGGACTCTTACAGCACTCCTGGGGGTTGGTGAGGGTGGTGCTGTCTGATGGTTCAGGAAAAATAGCTAGGTTCAGTGACACATTTGAATTAAGAACTCTGGGAAGACAACAGTTTCTTAGTTATTCTTTGTATTTCCACACGTCCAGCACAGTGTCGGGGGCATAGTGACACTTGGTGAATGACCCTTCCCTCCCCTGTTGGCTGGTTTCAGTTTATTATGTGCTCAGCATTTTGCTGGGGACTTTGGTGAGGACAACATAAATAATGACTCTTAGGGCTAGAGGTGTGGCCTGTTGCCTGCCCTGCCCACACTTTTCTTTCTTAAGGACTGTTCTCCTCTGACAGCTCCCACTGGCTGAACAGCCTTGTTCTGAACTGCAAGCCCTCAGCCTGAGCTGATGGGTAGGCTCCCGACCCAACAACAGACAATCCGTAGGTGCTTCAGACACTTGTAACCTTGTGTTTTGGTTCAAACAGATTCTCTGTGGTGATCATCTCTCTTGTGGAAAGAGTTAAGCTTACAGACATAGAGTGAAAATTGAAGCAGAAAGAACAGAAGGGAACAGGCTGGTAGAGGAGAGAATGGCAGGCTCTAACAGGTCATGTGAAGGCTGATAAGAAGCAGCAGAAACTATGCATGAATAGAGAGGCTGGAAGAGATACGAGAGTGGGGCAGAGAGATAGTTGCTGAGAGAGGCTAGCCAGCCCTTGGAGCACCTCCCTCGCTGAGTTTTCTAGTCCCAGTTTCCAAGTAATGTTTAAATAGACTCTCATTTTCCTTGAAGTGATGTGAATGCATTTCTGTTCTCTGCATCCACATTGGCCACATGCATGGGCGTCCTGTGTGCAAGTTATTTACAACCAAACTGGGGCAAAAGGACTTACATGAAATAAGGAATAAATAGTTAAGAGGAGCTATTACTAACTGAACATTGTGCTTGCTGTGAGCAACCTGTGGAAGGTCAGGACATAACAGCATGAGTCCAGCCTGGCGAACATGTCATTGAGAAAGGATTTGAGATGAGCGCTCACACAAATGCTTCTCAAACTTTCAGTACACATGAATCACTGGGGATCTTGTTACATGCAGATTCTAAATCAGTAGGTCTGGGGAGGGGCTAGAGTTGTATTTCTGAGAAGCTCACAGGTAATTCTGGATAATGCTGACTTGCAGGTTACAGTCGGAGTAGCAAGGTTCTAAAGGATATTCTGTCTTTCTCAATAGTAGGGAAGGTGTTAAAGATAGTGACCATTGACAAAATGGTGAAAGTGAACATGACTTATTTTAGAGTTGTTAAGGAAATTGGCCAGGAGCAGAGGGAAACTTGGAAAGAGGATATAAATTTGAATAGGTAAAGTACTGCTAGATTACAGAGCATTTCAGATGCCAAGATGAGTCATTTGGACATGGAATCGAAAATTTGAAGATCTTAGAGTTCGTCTAACCCAATTTCTCTTTCAAGTATGATGCCAATGTATAAAATCTCTAACAGGGTCAGTTGGGAGCCAACTTATTATGACATCCCCCAAATGGAGTCATCCCCCAAAGAAGTGTCTTACATAAGTCTGGAATAAGTTTTTTTTAAATAAGTTAAAAAAAAAAAGTCTGAAAATGACAAAGACCAGGATTAGTATTGGAATGGAGCAGTAAGAATGGGAAGGAAGGAATCAGATATATCTGAGTAGAACATTAACACATTCAACAGATATCTTTTGAGCTCCTTCAAGTGTTGTTCCAGGTACCCAGGACACATCAGGAAAAAAAAAAAAAAAACTCTGCCCCGGAGGTGCTTAGATTCTAGTGAGGCAAGAGACAAAGAAAACACAATAAATTTGCAAATTATAGAATTCATTATGAGGTACTTGCTGTGGGAAAAATAGAAGGTAAAATGCATAATGGTGGGTGGATTGCAGTTTTAAATAGGTTCATTAGGCTAGCCTTCAATGAAAAATTGACAAGGAGGAGGTGAAGGAGTTATCCTGGTGGGGATCTGGGGAAAGAGTGTTCCAGGCAGAGGGAACAGCCAGAGCAAATGCCCCAAGGCAAGGGTGTCAGTGGTGGTGAAGGAACAGTGAGGGGGAGAATGGTAGGAAATGAGGTTGCAAAAGTCCCATCATAGGACACAGGAATATTGTGGATATGCAACAGGAGACAAATGGATTAAAATAGATAAGCTGTTCAGGATGAACTCATGTAGGTGAAACACATTTTGAGGAACTTTGATTTACACTCTTAAACCTGATTAGGAAAATATTTTAAAAGATAAGGAAATTGAGAAGGAAGGTCAATACAATAAGAGAAGATATACATTCTAATTTTGAAGTCATTGGGACAGCCATATGGACATGATTTGAAGATATTTAGAAATTCGTAGGTTCAGTGTGGGAAAAATCAAATGGGAATCTTGAGTTCAGAGATAACAGTTGAAACCCCGACAGTAGATAAATTTGCCAAAAAACAAGACAAGATAAAACAGAAAAGCTAAGATTATTAGATCTCTTCACTTCTACCCCAGCTAAATCAAATGGATCTGTGAATACATTAGGAACGCTAGAAGTAGGGATTGAAATAATAATGGTTTGCAAAAAAAATAGTTTTTCTTAGTTAACACTAGTACAGAGGTAGGCAGTCCAGGTCAGCTATGCCCAATTGCCTAAAGTCATGGGACACTGGCCCTTTATGCATTTCTGTTCAACAATTCTGAGTGTAGAACTTCCCTAAAGTCCTAACGTGGTCACTGAGGCCCCAGCCGTCATGTAGGGGTTCTAGTTAGGAAAAATGGAAGAAAGAGAGAGCAAAGGACTTCGCTGGAAGTACCACACAGACTAATGTTTATTTTGCATTGGCTCCCATCTACAAGGGAAGCTAGGAAATGGAGTTTTCTAGCTGGGCACATGGCTCAAAGTTTTATTACTAACAAGGAAAAAGGAAGAATGGTTCCTGGGTGGACAACTAACAGGCAGTCACCATCAGGTACTCAGATCGTCAAAGGCTCTTCTTATTAGAATTAAATGTCCGAAAGCTCATAATTTACAAAATAATTATTAAATTGTCAACAACAGACAATACACAAAAACACATATCTACACAATGGTTTTCATTTTATTCTAGATATTATAATGGTAAAATGAAGGCATTCATTTGGTTGTATAAAACGTGCTAAGTGATAAATTCAAGAGTTGTTTAAGGGATTGTTTTCCTAAAGAGGTTTGTATAAATGGCAACTTTAAATGTTTGTAATTATATAGAATACTATGTTTTATTTACTTAAAAGGTAACAAAAGGAGCATT